AGAACTGACTTTGTGGCTTTGGCTTTTGACATAACCTCCATTATGGCAATCGCCCCAAACTTCAGATCTTCTCCCAGCCCCACCAAACACCAATCTCTCCTCAGACCTTTCTAGTTTCCTCACATTCAGAGACCCTTCCCCTTCTGAGAACACAATTTAGAGCCATCTGTTACCTGGTTTCCTGCAGATCCTTCGTGGTTTGGTCCCAGGCTGTCTCTGACATTAGTGCCTGAGAAGGGTGTGCCCTAGCCTTTATATTTTGGGGAGAGATGTAGTTTCAGTTTCAGATTTGATTTGTAATGGAGGGAGGGTGCCTTATAAACTATCCCCACAAAAACCTGCACATGGATGTTTATAACAGCTTTATTCATATAGGCAGAATATGAAAGCTTGAAAGCAACAACGATGTCTTTCAGTAGGTGAATAAATAAGCCGTGATGCATCCAGACAATGGAGTATTATTCAGCACTAAAAAAAAAAGAAAAGAGCTATCAAGTTATGAAAACACAAGGAAGAACCTTAAATGCATATTATTAATACAAAGTGAAAGGAGCCAATGTGAAGTCTCCATACTGTATGATTCCAACTATATGACATTCTGGAAAAAGCAAAACTATGGAGACAGTAAAAATGATCAGTGGTTGCTAGAGATTGGAGATGAGGTGGGTGGGAAGAGTGATGAATAGGCAGAATACAGAGAGGATTTTTAGGGCAGTAAAACTATTCTGTATGATACTAGAATGATGGGTACATGTCTTTAAACATTTGTCCAACCCAAACAATGCACAATACCAACAGTGAACCTTATTTAAACTATGGACTCTGGGTGATAATGATGTGTCAGTTGTAACAACGGTACTATTCTGGTGGGGCTATTGATAATGTAGAGGCTATGCAAGTGTGGGGCCAGAGATATATGGAAATCTGTACCTTCCTCTTAATTATGTTGTGAGTTTTAAACTGCTATAAAAAGTTAAAGTCTTTTTAAAATGTTTTGTTTCCACTGAGACTGAGACTTATTCAAACTCATAGTTTGAATGAGAAATGCATCAGAGTCATCAGTGTATATTATTTTGAATGGATGAGGAGGAGGGAAAGTCCACCTATCTGCTGTGACTTAAAAAAGACACTCACAAATATTTATATTTCTAGAGATACATTGATATCCAATTCAATCTGAGGGCCATCAATTTAATAAGCAACTGCAAAGCTAGTCCTCAGCCTCTGTGTATCATTATAGTGCTACCAGCTGTTTAGAGTAGCCGTCTGTTCTGACTGGTCAGTGCGTATGCCTTATGAGATACTAATTATTTTTTATTTTATTTTTATTTTTTTTAAAGATTTTATTGGGGAATTGGGGGAAGGGGAACAGACAAGGTGCTGTCCTTATGTTCTTCAGTCCAGTTGTGGAGGACGTTGCTTCACTGGCCCAAGTTGGCACCATAATTGCGATCTTCCCCGGCGAGGCAGATCAGTCGCCGGCCTCTGGACGGCCACTGGGGCTGGTGGCTGCTCACGCCGGCCGCCGGCGATACATGGTAGCCCATGGCAACCCACTGCCACAGGGGCTGCAGCCTAGCCGTCGCCGGTGACTCATGGAAGCCCAGCTCCAGGATGAGCTGCCGCCCAGCATCCTAGCCGCAGAGGGCAGTGTCACCGGTCCTCATATGTGGGATCTGAACCGGGTCCCTCTGGCATCCCAAGCCAGCTCCCAACCAACACGCCACTCGGCCGGCCCGAGATACTAATTATTTTAAATAGCACTCATAAAGATATGCAATGAAGATCAAAGATTTTTAAGATTAAAAATTATATTTCACAGGGTTATTGTCACTCTCTGAAATCCATATGTCTTAAAAAAAACTCATTTGTTAAACTGTAAATAGAAGAGAATGGTTTCATTAAATATTGAAAAAATAGTCTCTCCAAACGATAAGGGAGTGAGACAAATAGTTTTATGAGTGCTTCTAACCTTATCAAAACTGGCTTCATGATCCAGAACAACATCTGTTTTTCTGCAGCTATACTGAAGAAAGAACATTTTCTCCTTACTTTTTTGAGGTTTGTTTTACTAGTAACTATTAATAGAAAAGCCAACCTTTTCAAGAACTACATATTAGAATTGCAGGTTAGCTCCCAAAGAAAACAGCAGGCCTAAGAACCTTAAAACTTGTAGTATAGGAAAGAAAAAAGACAAAAGAGGTTATTAAATCTGCAATGTAAGACATGTANCATGCTTGTCTCTGTCCACCCAGGAAGATGTGTCTGGGTCTGGACCTCATGGAAGCTCATCTTTTGCAGCAACATACATACTCCTTTCTCCACTAACCAGTGTTCGCTGGTGTTCTGCTTCTGGGTGGACTCTGCTTCCTCTCCTGGGGTTCTCAGCTCAGCCTGCCTGAATCTGAATGAACATCAACCACTGGGCCTGAGATGGTGCGTGGCAGCCACTTTCCTCTGCTGGACTGCTTACCTGGCTATCCTGTTTTCATTAGGCTTGATCCAAATTCAAAATTCCTACATGTAAAAGCTCAGTCCCCCAGGAATCACTCTCTGTGGTCCTATTCCTACCACCAAACATTTCCCTTGTAACCAGCAGCCTTTCACAGCATAAAGACTAATTTGGTTGAAATGTGCAGGATACTCAGTCCCTCTGCAGCTCAGCTCCACTTCTGGCTGGACCCTGGCATCGCAACAAAACTTCGCTTCAACCACATGTTCTGTATCCCTGATCCAAGCCAGGCATTAATGACAGGCCCTGCCTGGGTGCAGAGGGAACAGGCTGACAAAGTCTCTGGCATTAAAGGGATCCTCAGACTATATGCAAATTATCATCATAGAGATGGTGAGTGTGTGGCTGAGATGCATACAAGATTCTCCATGGAAAAAAAAAAGACAGTATTTGTTAAGCAATGTTTATGTGCCAGGCAATAAGTCAAGAATTTTTAAAATTCTCACAGAAATACCACTGAGGTATTATTAATTTGTATCCTCATGTTACAAATGAAATATTTGAGACACAGCTTGCTCAGGTAACTTGCCCAAAGTCACAGAGCTAGTGGTTGTTGAGCCTGGACTACCACTGAGGTCATCTGACCCCAAACTTGT